TGAGGTCTGCAGAAGGAGGTTTCTCTGCTGAAGAATGTTCCTCTGTGTCTTCTGAAACAGCTGTTTGGGGAAAGCTTCTGCTCTGCCTCCAAACCCTGCCTCATTTAGTCTTTTCCCTTGTTGGTGATGCAGGTCACGCAGAGCCACCTTTGTCCAGGACCCAAAGCAGCGGCTCATTCCCGAGTTCCTCCATAACTTCTGTCCTTCAGCTTTTTCTCAAGCATGCAGTGACCACTGGTGGCTTCCTGCCTCAGGGACCAGGAGAGAATGCTCCAATGGAGAGCTTCCAGAAATCCATTTTACTCCCCCTCATCCTGACTGCCTTGCTGCCAGGTAGGACACGCTCGTGACCCRTGAAAAGAGCCAACGTGCACAAAATACGGGAACTGATTTCAGTGTGGTGTAAATGGACTTTKCTGGGGGTTCAGGCTGAGCAGGGAGCCACAGAGTGGGATTGTCTAAACTGTTTGAAAGGGGGGTGTTTGCATTTCAGGCCTGAATGATCTGATGGCTTCGAGTGGGCTTCAGGGTGATGGACTGAGCAGTGTGTGGGGTGGGAGGAGATGGCTGCCCTCTTCCAGTTCTCCCTGTCCATTTTTTCCTCCTGTTTGGAACTGCTTTTGAGAGTGTATCTGCAGAGAGCTCAATATCAGCAGCTGKTTTTTACTTCCAGAAGTAAATGCAAAGTACCACCTTTCCGATTTACCCCCAATTCACATTTCACACGCCTGACTATTGAAGTCAGTTCACATTAAAAGTGTCTTGGTGGCAAAGCTTTAGAGGAAAAGTGAATATTWAGTGATAAGCTGGGTAACGGAGACAAGGCTGATTTTTTTTATTAATTTTAGTCTAGCTGGTGTTTTAACAGTCTGTGACAGGAAGGAGCTGCAGTGGGATGAGCGGAGAGGTGTTTTCATGGATTAATAGTGAAAGGAAACACAAAGCAGGAATAAACAGTGAGTTTTCTGAGCAGTGCTGTTCCCAGCAGAGCTGCACAGGGATGTGTGGTATTCAATGAGCTCTTCAACAACCTGGTGAAGAGGAGGGAGCTGTGAGGTGGCAGACTTTGCAAGAATTACTTAGGGCAGCCAAATCCAAAAMGGGATGAGGAAGATTTGCCAGGAAATGTCACGGTGCCAGATGAGTGAGTAATAAAGGCACAGAAAGCATTCAATGCAAAGCAGCTCTTAACTGAAATGTCTAGTGGGGAAAAGAATAGCTGTCTTGGAAACAGTAAATTGCTGAAAAATAGAGAAAATTTCGCCATTWAATGTCTTCAGCAAGGCAGATAAAATGAAACCTGGAATTATGTAAATCCACAGAAAGGTTTTATCTTGGATGTTGGATATTTTGTTAACCCTTCCATTACAAAAAAGATGTGTTAGGCTTTAGAAAGCTATAAAGTGTGACAGCTGATCAAAGGTAGAGAATCAAAGAATCAAACAGGAGGGTTTGGGTTGGAAAGGACTTTAAAAATCCTCTAGTCTGTGGGCAGGGACACTTTCCACCAGGCAAAGTTCCTCAATGCTCCATCCAGCCTTGTACAATTCCAGGGATGGGGCATCCACAGCTTCTCTTGACTGCGAGGGAAAAGGATGAGGAGRCTGCATTAGACTGGGGTATTTTCCTGCTTATAAAAAAGAAAAAATGCTAAATATGTATTAATTAATGATATGAAAGTGAATGGTGAGATGGTTGCTCACAATTTCTCATAACAAAAAGAATTCGTGGCAGCCAGGAAAAGTATTGCAAAGAAAATTTAAGGCAAACCAAAGACTACTTTGCCTCACAGCATGTAATGAAATAGTAATTTATTATTCATGGTCACTGGATATGGGGGATACCAAATTATAAACAGGCTGAAAAAACCTAGAAACAAATATCAGGGAGTGTAGATCCACAGGTGCAGATGCAATTATTGGCTCAGGGAGTCCCTGGATCTTTTATTTTTGGGTGCTGGGCAGTTGTACCATGGTCTGCTGTCAAACACTGAGTGAGAAAAGAGAAGAAGACACGCCTGGGGRCTGGGGAGAGGTTCAGGTGGGAGGAAATCAGTGTTGCTGAGCATYAGGAGTCTGGTATTGCTTGACAGAAACATCCTGTAAGCATTTAAAAAATCTTGTTAACATAAGAGAACGAGMCAGTCCCTCTCTGCAGGCTTTGACAAGCTCTAACCTACTTCGGTTTTCAAAAAGCTCAGCTGCAGGGCTGTTGGGTTTTGAAATAAGCTTGAGCTGTTTATTTATTTATTTATTGTTTAACAGTTTATTGCAGAGTTGTGGCTGGAGCAGCAGGTCAGTGGTGAGGCAGAAGGCAAGGTGGGGCAAACAGGAGGCTAACGAGAAAGTGAGAAGAAAAAAAGGAATTTCAAAGAGACTGGAAGGAAAAAAAGAACCTGGAAAAMCGGTAGAAATTCCAGCTGAAATAACAGAGAGGGAAGGGAAGAAGGCAGAYATTAGATACAAAAAGTGAAGGAGGAAAAGCGGTGTTAGTGGAAGGGCAATATGGGTACAGAGGGGGAGATTATTTTGAAATACGATAATGAGGCTGAAAAAAAAAAAAAGAGAGGAATCATTATGGCAAAAGGATAAGCCCATCCTGTCCTTTGCTGTGCTGCATCCAAATAGGTCACTCASAAAAGAGGAAAGACAGAGCTGGTGGATGACAGGAGGGAAGGAGGAGAAGGTGGCCACGTTTCAGTGCCCTTGTTGAAAACTCCAGCACGGAAGAGTGGTCCTYTGGAGTGAATTCAAGTGTGGAATAAAAAACATTGCTGGCAAAGGACAAGGGGTTTCTCTGGCAAATGAGGCTCCCTCAGTGCAGGCATCATCCTGCACARTTTTCATTTCTTCACAACCTGCAGTGATGTGACAGCGAATTTGTGTGACAGAGGAAGGAAAATACCAGCTCGTGAAGAAGTTGATTTGTGGCCTGTGTTCTGGGAGGGACTGAGCAGCTGGGACACCAGAAGCACTTAATTTCAGCGAATTTTCACCGCTGGTGACTGCTYTGTAAACATTTAGAGATGTGCCTCAAAGAAGGTGTCCTCACTCAGTTCTRCTGTTCAAAAGGCGAGGGGCAATCAGGGAGACAGCCCAACACTTCCCTGCTGCAAGGGGGGTGTTTGCCTGGGTGGGATGTCTGTGGGGGAAGCAGATGTTAAAGCAGCTGTTGGGAGCTGAACACCTAATTCCTGTAAAGTGCAATGCAAATCTAGCCCGGGGCCTTAATTTGTTTAAAAGCAACCATCTGCAAGGTATTTTTGAAGCGGGATGTAAATGAAACCAGCACTGAAATTTTCTSCCCAGTGCATGAAGGTCCAGCAAAAGGACTGCCAGCACTGGTTCAAGGCACAGAAAATGAGTTTAGGTCCCATTTCTGCTGTGAATGTCCTCTTTGACCTCACACCAGTGGCTTTATCAGTGTTTGTGCACGGCTTGGACAATGGGACACGCTGCTGGTTCAGGACTCCACGTGCAGAATAAACAATAAAAGCCAGGAGATAAAGAGGCGAAGGTAAAACCACTGAAAGCATTGGGGAAATGGGTGGAAAAAGCTGATGAAACTCCTTTACTGGTCATGCTTGGGCTGGGATCTAAATGGGGGTGAGGTTRTGTCCCATTCCTCAGTCCTTTTGCCTCCCAAATATCCCCACTTGTTTTCTATGGGACAGCAATTAGGAAAGGATCATTTATTGCTCCAGCAGACATAGTTGGTAAAAGAAGATGTAGATCCTACCCTACCTATGGACTGATAAAAAATAATTATCACAGATAAATTATTAACTCATACCTGCCTGCCTAAACTGCCCTGAAKGTCTGAAGAAAGCAAAAGCAACATTAGCCAATTATGTTGAGAGCTAATGATCACTGATTATTCCTGTTTAGGGATAAATTTAAATGATTAATTAACAGCAAGCACTGTCCTGAAAGTTGCATCATTTATTCAAAGCCCTGGCAAACCAYGACTCCTTGAAAAAGTAAAGTGTTTGCACAGGAATGGAAATAAATTCCAAGTGCACAGAGAACAGTTTGCATTAAGAGGGGCAGGGAGGGTAAATTTTAATTTGAACAGAAATATGATTTACTTAATCTTATCTGGCTTTATTAATTATCGGAGTAGGTGAAGTTTGCTTTCCATTTAATGTTTTSTTGCTCATGCAAAGATATACTTGGGAGGCTGAGGTAGCATAACCCAGGGAGGTGGAAAATTTTTGTGAAGGTTTTTGTAAACATGAGAGGACTCAGCGTGTCAGCCACACAAAGAAACAGGGAGAGCGAGGTTTGTACAATCCTGAGAAACACAGAAATCTGTAAATGCAGTGGGTGGGAGGAAAGAGAGGAGTTATTTATATGAAAGAACAATTCCTGGCACCAACCTGGTTGGGTGCACAGTGCCCAGGTTAAATGTGGGCAGGGAGCTGCTRAAGGGTCTTGACAGTGGAGAAAAGAGATTCCAGACCTTTCATCCTGGGTGCAATTCCCTGAGGCACTGGTTCAGTGTTGTCACTGGGACTGGGCTCTGGTTCCATTTCTGCAACCATCAAACACCTCTGTGGTGGGAAACAATCCAGCTTGTTCTGTCCTACTCATGTCAGCTGAAAGAAATTTTTTTTTTCAATATTTTATATCTAATCCATTAATGAATAAATGGATCTGTCACACCTTAAAAATGCTGTGAAAGAAACCTGTAAAAGTCACTTAATTGTCCTGAATACTCTTTTAGCAAGGGAGTGATGGCCATTTCAGAGTTCCTTTCTCCTGGGAGATAATTAAACTTTTCTTCTCAGGCCAAATTGCAGGCAGAGGGTTTTAATTAGGCTGCCAGGAATRTGGTGTCTAATTGCTGTTGTCACACAGAGTCCAGCTGGTAGCACTGGGGTTCCAGGGGCAGTCCTGGTGCTCCCTCAGCAGGAATRTTCCCCAGGAAGAGAGGACAAGCTCCCTGGTGAGCCAGATCCCCCTGGCAGTGGGGTCTGCAGGGAGTGAAATGTCCATCCTTGGACTCAAAATATTCCTGGATTTCCTCAAAATATCCCTGTGCAGTTGGAGTAACTGGCAATGGGAGGCCATGGGTCCATGAGGAAAAAATGAAAACAAAATGACTTTGTTAGTAGCTTGCRGTTCTAGGAAACAGTAGGCAAAAGTCACGCTACTTTTCAAGGAATTAAAACTAATGAGTTACAGCACCTCTGGTCAGCAGAAAGCCTGAGCAAGGCTTTAAAAGGAATAAATCACAATGTATTGATGAATGCTTGAGGAATAGGGGAGAGAGCATAGAGGGATAAAGGATGGGGTTGGAAAAAATTGGTGCCAATCCAAGACGTGGAAAAGGGACCGGTTACATACTCCTTAAATTATTTAAAGTCTAGGAAAAAAGAAGTAGAAATCATTTATAAGTGGAAATTCTTTTCTGTCAGCAGAATGGTAGTCAGTGAATTACTGAAGAGAGACGGGTGATTGTGGAGTGGGATGAGAAGAGACAAAATAAATGTATTTTTAAAGAAAACCAYTCAATCTAAACTGGAGCTGAAAGATCAGATTGCACATCTCCATCTCTGAACTGGTTCAGATGTTTTACCCTGTCCAAGCACCTCTGTTGGTGTTGTATATGTATTTATGGGCTAATTTGGTGTGTATATGTATTTATGGGCTGATTTTTGTTCCCTTGCAGGTCTGGCCTTTTGCTACTCCATCACAAAAGGTCCCTCCAACACCACGGTCCTGGCGGGCTCCGAGGCGCGCTTCAACTGCACGGTGTCAGCGGGGTGGAAGGTTCTGATCTGGCTGTCCAAGGGCAGCCCTGTCCTCACTGTCACCAGCTCCCAGGGCTCCGTGGAGACCACAGACCGCTTCACCTCCCGCAATTACACCAGTGGGGACGAGTTCACCTCGGAGCTGATCATCCACAACACCCAGCTGAGCGATACAGGCAGGATCGAGTGCAGCATCCAGCAGCCCAGCGAGAACAACTTCGCCTTTCTCTTTGTTCAAGGTGTGTATGGCCACCTACAAAAAGCTGTTTTTGTTATGCTGCACCTAAAGGAATCCTCTGAGGAATTGCTTAWATCATCCCTGGGAAGGAGAGCGTGCTCTCATGTACCATCCTTTGTCTCCTGCCCTCCTCATCTTAATTTCACTGTCCAAGCAGGTTTTAGAGTCAYACTCAGAGTGCCAATAACAAAGGTTATAAGTGCCCCTGTTTTTTTCGTGTTTCATCTCTCATTCCTTATCAGACTGCAGCCAGGAAGCAGGATCTCACCACCAGCACTATCCATTTGTCAGGGAGGTGCTCAGTGCAGTGATAATATCTCATCACCARCCTGTAAACCTTTTCATATAAGAACTGAGAATATTTAAAAGTTAGAGAGAAGCACTGTTATTTCATTACGTTGTCCTTCAGCTGGAAATGTTTCAAGATGTCTAAAAAGTACAGTTTCCTGCTTTTTATTGGAAAGGTACTCAAAGTTGAGGCTTGAGCTTTAAAAACATTGGATAATAGGCCCATGTAGCTGAAAAATCTGCATGTTTCTCTCATGCACATRGTTTATCTGTGTTAATAATGGTTGTTTTGCACTCCATATCTTGAGGCATATTGAGATATTTCTGGGCAGCGAGATAAGATTTAAAAATGCCAGCAGGGAAGCAATGCAGCGAAACATTCTGAAGGAACAAAACATCTTTTCCCTCCCACAGTTAATGGATCTTTACTCATCAAAAATAGCACCTTAACAGTAAAAGAGAACCAAACAGTTGAGATTGTTTGCGAAGCCTTAGGATGGGCTCCGGCTCCAGACATTTCCTGGATGACAAACGACTCTGTCATTGATAAGTCGAGCTATGTCAACCAGCAGAGCCCAGGATCTAATGGCCTCCACAATGCCCTGAGCACCTTAACTCTGACTCCGACGGACTCTGAGGTTTTGACTTGTTTAGCTGACATAGAAGCACTCCCCAGCCCTCAGAATGCATCTGTAACTCTTATTTTTGACAACTCTGCGGCGGGTAAGTGAATGTTTGTTTGTGCTTTGTTGTGCTGCACTGCCTGTGCTCAGAGCGGTGTGTTTCGTTCCGGTTTGTTTTGTTTTCTAAAGGTCTTTTGTTTGCAAATCAAATCCTGTGAAATGTGCACAGGTGATAGAATTTCGACCCAGCAGGGACAGACTGGTTACAGGTGGGGTTAAATGCTCTGGTACGAATCTAATGAACCACAAAGTTCACTGTAGGACCGAGCAGGACAAACAAAAATGTACATCTGCCTCTGCCTGCTGGGAATTCATTGCTGGAAAACCAGCCTCTGGCCAAGGAAACTCCTGGGAAATTTAGATCTTAAATATCCTTGATCAGACCATGCCTGCCTTCTTAGACCTTGTTTACTTAAAGCCAAACCCTCATGTGAAACTCGTCTCCATAATATCCAATATTTTACCACTGTTTTACCACTGACTTGGAAGAAACYCCTCCCAGTTTCTGCACACAACCCTGAATTAATTCTGTAGTTGCTTATGTGGAATTTTTTGGACAGTGCATTGGGTTGCTTTTTACTGGCTTTTACTTAAGRAAATTCAAAGTTGCTTTGATCCAGGCCTGGGTGTTGTGCAGGTCTCTCCAGAGCAGTTAGTATGGCCTTTGATAACTTTAAATATTTTTGCTCAGGTTGTAATCATGCCAACAGCTTCTTTTGAACTGATTCTTCTGCGATGGGTGAACAAGGCACACACAAAACATCCTCAGGGTATCAATGAAGGGTGGGGTACAGAAATTTTGGCACATAAACAGCTGAGAGGATTGAGTGGCCGTGCTCCTTATTTTCAGCATGAGTCATTATTACAAAGCCTTTTTCTAAGTGCTTGCTTGGTAATGCAGTTGGGAAAAAGGTCATTTTACCATTCTTAATATGACCTTTTGTGGTCACATTGATCTTAATTACTGACTAAGCAAAACAGGACTATCCTGAGRAAATTAATAGATTCCCCTGCCTGCTCATTTGTCATGTTTCCATAGCTACTCACTGCAAAGCAGAAAGGGAGAAAAACAGATGTCATGGAGCACTATTAGTGTATAATTACTGATTGTATAGGACCATCATTCATTTCTCTTTGGAAATACCATTGTGCAGCAGCAGGCACTCAAAATTTGACAGGATAGGAGAATGTGAAGYCTTTAAATGATCAGGATGAAATAAATGCATGGCATTTAGGACAGAGGAAGGTATATAATGTRTATAATATATAATCCCACTCAAAATGTCAGAGCTTGTCCCACTTTTCATACACAGGTTCCTCAGGTCAGCTGTTGAGAAAGAACACAACCAGCTTCAGACATGTAGGAAATCCTTCCCAAAACTGCTGAAATATCAGTTTAGTATCACTTTAAAGCTTGGGGAATCAAATTCCTCTGTGTTCCTCTCAAGCAATAGAAGAATTACCAAAGATCTGAGCCCTCTCCAGACCTTCCTGCACCTCTTTCCCTACAAATTTCCCTGCATCACTCTTCCTGCAGACTTACCTCACTCACAGTGGTGTTTGGCTGAGCCTGAAATTTGGGAACTYCTACAAAGTTATCCCAGGAGATGCATTCACAGAATGGGGTTGGGATCCATGGTGGAGTCCCTTAGGTGGGTCCAAGCTGTGTTTGGCTTCAGCACTGAACTCACATGGCTTTGGACCTGTAGAAGATGAGGACAGGGAGTGTCCCATGAGCCTGGAGTTCCTCTGCTTTTGACAGTGGCCAGGAATCACCACAGTGTCCAAGAAGCCACTTGCAGGTTTTTCCAGTCTCTCACTCCTTGCTGGTCACCAGCACCTGCCAGGGAAAATGCCCTTTTCTGCAGACACTTTGTCCAAGTAAATGTTTGGACAGCTTTAGGAGGAGCCAGGGGTTGGGAGAGGGGCAGAGGATGGGCCCTGTGGAATGAGGGAGTGGCTTTGTCCACACCAAATGCTTCATGGAACTGGGGTTGGATTTCCTTGTGGGCTCAAAGGGGTTTAATGTCCTCACACCTCGGTGCCCGTCCCCTGCAGCCCTGCCTGAGTGCTCACCTGGCAGCTCCTCATTCATACTCAGCTCCTTCCTGCATCCTCCAGCACTGCAGGGACACAAAAATGCTGAAGGGCTGGGATTGTTTGTGTTGTGTCCCGTCCTTCTTGCTCCAGCTCTGTACATGTTTTGGCACATAACCTGTCCCTGGCAGGGAGTGAAACGCCTCATGTGGCAGCCAGCCTGAAGAAATGGACCCGTGCAGGTGTGCATAGCTCCTCCCTTCTCACTAAAGTYGAGCTTTTCCCCACTAGCTAAATTGCTGTCTTTCATATTTTAGTCATCTTGAAATCCTCGTGGCATCTTTACGRAACAAAATGTGATAAAATGTAGATATCTGTTGCAGTACTTCTAGATAAAAATACTATCAACAGGTTATGATCACAACTCATGGCAGCCTACAGGATTTACTACTAATTTT